GGGGCTCGGCTCTCCCCGGCGGCCAGAGCGCCGGGGGCAGGGCGCCGGGGGGGAGGGCGGCCGGAGCCCTGGGGGGAGGGCGGCGAGCCCCGGCTGGGGCTCGGCTCTCCCCGGCGGCCGGAGTGCCGCGCCGCCCCCCTCCAGGTGCTGCCCCAAGCACCAGCTTGGGTGCCTGGTGCCTGGAGCCGGCCCTGCCCCCACCCCATGGCAGCAAGTCTCAGAGCTCGGATCAACTGACTCGGGCTTGCAGGGCTGGCACAATGGGGCTAAATATAGCAATGTAGATTTTTTTTTTCCCCCTTGGGCTCTGACCCCTCCGACCTCCCCGGGTGAGTGTTCTTAGCCCCTTAGTGTGGGCCCCGCGAGCCTGAGTCAGTTGACCTGGGCTCTGAGACTCACTGCTGCAGGTGTCTTCCCTGCCCCTCCCTGCCCCCATGTAAACGTGCCCAAGGAGTTACGGTAATAAAAATGTTTAATAGTAGTAGCAGTTTCTCCACCTAGCTATAATACTAAATCTTATTGTTCCTATCATGGGAATTTCCAACACTAATTGCAAAACAGGCTTCTCTGATGTGGACAAAGGCTTAGTACTGTTCTTTGGTTAAATTAAAAGTAATTCTCTCCACTTCATGGGTATAAAGTAGTTGCTGTCTTGTTTCTAGCCATCTAGGAAATGGGCACTGTGTACTGATGTGTACAATGTAGTACCATTACAGTTTTAGAACCCTGCTTCTGTGTTTGATGTCTTGTCAGATCTGCTTGGATTAAAGCCCGCTCCTAATAACGGAACCCATGGAAGTTTAAATCACTTGCTGAGGAGCAATGCATTTAAACCGACCATGCCAGATGAAGTTGCAAGGCCGCTCTATCCTGTAGCTGCATTTTCTGCATCTGAATTTGATTTGGGCTGTACCTGTGATGACAAGGTAGACTCATGGATTTATTCATACTGGTGTCATTAAGAATAATTGTCTTGTACTGTAGGTTAGGGGGATATTGCATGTTCTCCCTTTAAGAGAAAGAGGCTCTAACGTTTAAGTATCCCTTTGATCCTTCATGCCGTTAAGAGTCTTTCATACCCTTTGGAATATTTAGTGTAATGTGTTCACAATAAGGGTGTTAGAGTGCTAGTATTGCTTTGCTAAATAAATAGTGAACATGAGATGTCAGAGAATGCTCTTACGGTTCAGCTGCTAATCTTTTTCACTCTTTTTTTTAAAAATTTTATAAAGAACAAGTTGGATGAACTCAATAAGCGCTTTCATGTCAAAGGAACAGAAGGTAAGGACATGGTGGTTAATAAACATTTATTTTCTTCATTTTCAGTGGTGGTTTACTACATTTAAAATCAACCAACATTCAAACTAATGAGAATTTATAAAATACAGTAAACTCATGCACTTGTGTCTCTGTGTGTAGATTTTAGAAGCGTAGTCTGGCAGTTACTAAATCAGACCTAAAGTTCCTTAGCTCAGCATCCTGTTTCTGATAGTGGTCAGAAGAAGATGCAAGCAACTCCATGTTAGACAGATGTAGGATAATTGTATCCTAATCCTTAAAAGAGATGGGCTCACAATGTGAAGCATATTGTTTTGTGTTCCTTGCCAAATGTTTTAGCATTAAGTAGAATAGCTCTGAATATTCTTATCAATATAAATGTCCTATTTCCTTTTAGAATCTTGCTAAATTCCATTAGCCATGTGTGTGTTATCTTGAGCTGGACCAAGCTTTGTAAACTTTTCCCTGCTACTTTAGCAAATCTTGTGTTTTTTTGGAATTGGATCCTGAGCTACCTCCAGTCAGGCATTTGCGGTCCTTTTTTTGTATAGCTTTCATAAATCTTTCCCTTTCCTTAATTCTAGTAATACAAACAATTGTGCAGGTCATTCTTTACAAGTAAAATTATTCCCTGCTTCTGCAAGTTTAATTGCTTTTCTATAGGTTATCATCATAAAGCATAAGGCGCCAGATGAAATTTAGGTCTAGCATTTTTAACTATCTGTAATTCTGCTGTTATGCCTGTCACTATACCAATGTCCACATCAAAAACAGAATTAATTTTTTCTTTTCACTATGGAATCTAACAGTAGTGCATGGGAGGCATGCTACTACAACTTTGTCTTAAACCAATTTCTGCTAATTAGTGAAGGAATATTTCATTCTGTACCAAGTAATGGTAACAGCAAACAGGTACCACTGTACTTGCAGGCATCCTGAAACCTGATCTTGCTTTGGTTATAACTTTTTTTTCAACATTTTATCAGTTTTTTCTTAGTATACTATGAATACATTTGTTCTTGTACATGTCTTCAGAAAGTGGCTACTGTGGCACCTATGTCAATTTCAATCATCATATTTAAGTTGTCTATATTTGTTAATCCAACATGGAACACTTGAATCACACTTATTCTAAGCTAGAGCTGGCCAAAACTAGGGATTTCTGGTTTGCAGGACATGTTGACGTTTCTTAATTTGGTTTCATTCTAAATCAGAACAAAACCAAGATTTTTTTTTTTTTTTTTTTTTTTTGTAATTTCTCACAAACTGCAAATCCGCCTCCCTCTTTCTGAAAAATCACTTCAGAAACACTGACGCAGGCTGTTTCCAAAAAGGAATACGCTCCCTGGACTCATAGCTGCTGGCTGAAATTGACATTCTTGTCAAGTTTCACCACTGCTTTCTGGAGGAGCATGGTTCTGTGTGCCGGGGAGCCCAGCATCTTGTGGGCTACTTGTTTGCTCACATGCCAGAATGGAGCTGCAGGTCTGGTAGTTCCTCTGCTGAGCCACCCACCCCAAGGCTAGGGTGACCAGATGTCCCGATTTTTATAGGGACAGTCCTGATATTTGGGGTGTGGGTGTTTTTTTGTTTTTTTTTTTAAATATGGGCTCCTATTACCCCCCCACCCCCGTCCTGATTTTTTCATGCTTGCTATCTGGTCACCCTCCCGCATGGCTATTCTGAATCTGAGCAGTTCCAGTGCCATTCTGTGTTTGGGGGATGGATGGGATGGGAAGAATTTCTCTCCTTTTTATCCTTTTTTAAGTCTAAACTACTGTATTTCTGTAGCAGTCATCTCCAGTTATTTAGACTGGGTGCTACACAGGGGATTTGCCTTTTAAATGGGCATGTGTTGGACACATTGATTCTGGCTGGGTTTTTTCTTCTTTGTTATTAAGTGTAATTTAATGTAACTTCCTCCAATTTCTAGAGAAACACCTCCTGTACGGACGTCCTGCGGTGCTTTATCGTACCAAGTACAATATCTTACATCACCAAGACTTTGAAAGTGGTTACAGTGAAACATTCCTGATGCCTCTCTGGACATCGTACACTATTTCAAAACAGGTCAGATTTATCTTTGCTTTCGAAAAATGACACTGCTTACCTGTATTCCTGGAGTCTTAAAATTTCCTTTTTCCTTCAGGAAATTTCCTGCTTGGAATAACGTAGATTTCCATTCTAAAGAGCACTTCCACTCTCCATGAAAAGTGGAATTTTAAGAACCATATGCTGCTTATTGTTGGCTTTTTTTTTTTTTTTTTAAACGCTTAACCCAGGATTTGTTTTTCTGCAACAGAATGTCTAGTTTAATCAGCTAGTTTATCAAGTTGTTTCTAATGGGAATTCCTACTACTAGATTGCTTAAGTAGACTCTGTCTCAAGGAACAGGTTTTTACTATAGAGGTTGATGGATATATTTTATATTATAGAGGATCCTTCATCTTATCTGTTGATTATTTGAAATCATTATGCTTCACATAACATTCTTTATTGATGTTAGGCCTAAACAAGTCACACACTCTTGTTCTTGACTTCTTTTCCTGGAATGATATTTACAGTTTGTTCCATGTATGCCTTTCAATGTAGGCAGAGGTATCTGGTGTCCCTGAGCATCTGTCTAACTGTGTGAGGCCTGATCTGCGCATTTCTCCAGGAAACAGTCAGAGCTGTTCAGCCTACAGAGCAGATAAACAAATGACTTATGGATTCCTTTTTCCTCCTCGTAAGTTTAAATAGGATGTCTGTAGAATATAAAGGAGGTATTCTGTATGCAGCTACTTTTGGTTCCCTAGAGATTTTTGAGCTTCCCCTTGTCTGTTAGGGAAATTTTTTCCTAGGAAAAAGAAGGCACAAGGTCTGTATGGGGTTGCGGGTTTTTAAGTGTCACAGAAGAGATATTTGATAGCCTCAGTATTACCAGTTTTTTTTCTTGTGGCGAGACCACAGTAACCCAATAGAACTGTTATCAGCTAAATGTAACTCTGTTTTAATTGTACATGATTTTGACTACTGAATGAATTTCAGTTGTCTCTCTCTGCTTCTGAAAAGTTCAGTAACTCAAATATCCATTCAGCTAGTCAGTCAATCTGTTTATTATCAAAAAGAATGATTTGATCAGTCCAGAAGTACTTGCATGGAAAGATGTTTGGAAATAGAGAAGGACTCTTTTGTCTAGCAGTCAAAGACAAAACAAGACGTCAGTGGTTGAAAGTTAAATTTGAAACTTGACAAATTCAAAACTGGAAATAAGATATAACTATTTAACAATTAGAGTAATTAACCATTAGAATAGCTTACCAATATGGCAGATATTTCCATCTCTTTCAATCTTCAAGTCTAGTCTGGATGTCTTTCTAAGAAATGCTGTAACTCAAAGAAAAGTAACTGAGCTTGATGTAGAAATTACAGGCTGGAATTCTATAAGCTGACCTTATATCTAACCCAGGTCATAGATCAGTGATCCCTTCTGAACTTAAAATCCATGGATATGAAATAAGATGATCACAAAAGAGACATTTTGTGCCATCAAATACTGGTTGAATAGTTTGAAATCTGGTATTTATTGTGTATGCAGTAATGATGAAGGGAGAGAGCTTCAGCTGGCAAAATTTGGCATTACTCCTCTTTAAGTCAATGTACCTACGCCAATGTACACCAGCTGAGCATCTGGCCAGCAGTCTTCAATTCAAAATCCTAGAGAAATACAGCTACTGTCTGAATTTACTTGTCATAAGATTTAATAAACTATTAGTACATGTCACAACCAAAATTGATTAGTCTGAAAACTTAATGAGAATGGATTTCTGTCAGTGTGTAAAGGGAGATCAACAATTTTTCATGCATGTTGTACAAATGATTATCTTAGGCTCTACTGGTTGACTTGCTTACCACTACTTCAGTCTCCGGGGAATGGATGGATATACCAGTCAGAATGAATGTCTGAGCAGACAGTTGCAGCCTTGGGGGATGACTTCCTCCCCTCTGACTTATTAAAGGAAGGGTTGAAATGGGTTTTAAAAGGAGTATGTATGTTACAGAACTAAAGGCAGTAGAGAGATGGATCATTTCTTGATTTTTCTGATCAGACTCTATTCTGCCTTGGAAGTGTGAGCCTTTTTTTATTTAAAAAAAAATAAATATAAAAAAAGTTGCAAAACAATACAGTACAATTATCACACCTCCTGAGAATGTACAAAAATAGAAACAAATTTAGCTGGTGGAAGATTGAAACAAGGACAAAAACCCTCTGTTCTCAGTCCATCTGTCATGTAAAGTAACAAGAAATTGTGTTTAGTTTAATCTAGAGTCTCATTTAGAAGATAATCTTTCTTTTGATTACTGCCTGCAATTGTTTGTTTTATTTTTCTTGAGTGTCTGAGATTTCTACTAGGAACTTTCATGTTAACACATCTTGTTCTATGACTTTCAGAACTAAGTTCCTCTGCAGAAGCTAAATATGATGCCTTTCTAATAACAAATATCATTCCAATGTATCCTGCCTTCAAAAGTAAGTATGACACTCTTGTGGGTTACAGCTGATTCCATGCACCACTTAGCTAACTGGTATAGATATCTTTCGAAAATGGTGTGGCTGCTGAACTATGGAATGAACTGATTTAGAGGTTTATTGGATAACTTTCAGCTGGCCTCTCTGAATACATGTATAGGAATACAGGTGGACCAAATGGATTTATCACAGATGGGGCTAAATGCATCTAAACAAAAAGTGAACTGACCTAAATCTAACTGAAACCCATTAACTTTTCTTTTGTTTGTGCTCCGCTTTGCTTCCTAGTTTTGGTGGGAGGTAGCAAACTATCAGACTCTTCTGGTGGCATTTCTGGCTTGGCTGGAAGCAGAAAGTCTTGGAAAAGGCTCAAGAAGTAGCTCTTGTGAGATTTCAAACCCAAATTCTAGACCAGAGAGGTTTGGCTAAACCTCAAAACTCTGGGATGCTTTTCAAACCAAAGGAGGGTGTTAGCAAGCCTGTGGGTAGAAACAAGTGGTGATATACATAAGGAGCTTGAGCAAAGGTGGCAGAATGACAGTTACCTGATCAAACAGTGGAAAATCATTACTGATTACCCACTCTGAAGTCATGATTTATAAAAATGCTGTTTCCAGGAACATAATCATAGGACAAAACAACCATAAATTGCTCATATTGTGGTGTCATTCTTTTTTAATTATAACTTGATGTTGGAGTCCCCAACAACTCAGAGTTCGCCAATGGAGGGGTTGATGGTCGTCATGATTTCTGTAGTACTTGAAGTATGCATGTGCTGTACAGAGGGAGAAGGTCCCTGTACAGAGGATTTTAAAATTTATAATGGGGAAATGGAGGATATCTGAGTGAGCAGGACATCAGTTGAAAACATTACAATGTACTTTAGTTACATACACTTGCGGTTAGTTCCTTTCTTTTACTTTTTAAATATATTTGGGAGCTGTGTGTGTGTGTGTGTGTGTGTGTGTGTGTGTGTCCCATCTTTTATAAATGAAGATGCTTATAGGTTAAGGGAGGAAGAGTATTGATATCTTGTCCAGTATGACAATCTATCTACATCGTTCAGAAGACACTGCTCTTCCGTCATATGTTACAATATAACTAAGTCATTGCGGAGTCCACCTAGTTCCAGAAATTAGATAATTAATATCTGAGGGAACCTCACTGAAAGGAATGTGCCTTTCATGCTCTTTTAGATTTGACCTTCCTTAGAGATTAGAGGTTTTGCTATTCAATTAATCAAAGCAGCACTGAGACTTTGTGCTTACAAAGAGCCAAGGACATTAAAAGTGTGTATGTGAATACTCATTTCTACTGCTAGAGAAGGAACAGCAAGCTTTCTGTATAAGGTCTATTGCAATGCCAGCCTTTGAATGGTACTGTGCATTTCCTTTATCACTCATTAGAAAATAAATTAATAAAGCACAAATCTAGAGCAGTGATACTCAGACTCAGTGGTTCAGGAGCCAAATTAGTGATCAACATTACCCAGAAGAGCCACAGTATTATTAGTTAACCAACTGTAGTTGATAAACATAGTGAAAGCATCCTGATTGGTTAATAACTTATACTGGTTAATAGTTAAATCACACAGTGTTGTAATATCATGTGCTGCAAAGAGCTGCAGGAGACATATTAAAGAGCCACTTGCAGTTCACGAGCCTCAGTCTGAGTATCCCTGATCTAGAGAAATGGAGGCTGTGTCTGTACTGGCAATTGAACGACAAAACTTTTGTCTTTCAAGGGGTTTAATTCCCCCCCCCCCCCCATCCCCAAACACACAAGTTTTGCCGCAACAAGTGCCACTGTGAATAGCGCATTGTCAGCAGGAGTGCTCTCCTGCCGACAAAGCAAAAGCCGCTCATTGGGGGTGGAAGTAGGAGAGCCGACAAACAGCAACTACACACAGCCATGTTGCTAAAAGCGGGGTAGTGTAGATAAAGCCTCAGTGAAGCTACAATAAATCTTTAGTAAGACTTGATCCTGTCTCACATGAGTTTCTCATAAACAAACTAGGAAATTTCAACCTAGATGGAGCTACTATAAGGTGGGTGCATAACCGGTTGGAAAACTGTTCCCAGAGAGTAGTTATTGGTGGTTCACAGTCAAGCTGGAAGGGGGACATATCAATTGGGGTCCTGCAGGGATCAGTTCTGGTTCTGTTCAATATCTTCATCAATGATTTAGATAATGACATAGGGAATACACTTATAAAGTCTGCAGACGATACCAAGCTGGGAGGAGTTGCAAGTGCTTGGGAGGATAGGATTAAAATTCGAAATGATTTGCACAAACTGGAGAGATGGTGTGAAGTAAATAGGATGAAATTCAATAGGGACAAATGCAAAGGTCTCCACAGAGGAAGGAAAAATCAGTTGCACACATACAAAATGGGAAATGACTGCCTAGGAAGGAGTACTGCGGAAAGGGATCTGGGGATCATAGTGGATCACAAGCTAAATATGTGTGAATAGTGTAACACCATAGCAAAAACAGCAAACATCATTCTGGGATCTATTAGCAGGAATGTTGTAAGTAAGACACAAGAAGTAATTCTTCCGCTCTACTCTGCATTGATTAGGCCTCAGCTGAAGTATTGTGTCCAGTTCTGGGCATTTCAGGAAAGATGTGGACAAATTGGAGAAAGTCCAGAGAAGAGGAAAAAGATTATTAAAGGTCTAGAAAACATGACCTATGAGGGAAGACTGGAAAAAAATGGGTTTGTTTAGTTTGGAGAAGAGAAGATTGAGTAGGGACATAACAGTTTTCAAGTACATAAAATGTTGTCAAAAGGAGAAGGGGGAAAAAATGTTCTCCTTAATCTGAGGATAGAACAAGAAGCAGTGGTTTAAATTGCAGGAAGAGTGGTCAAAGTCCACATTTCTTGGTCAAGGTATAGTCAAGGTCCAGATTTCAGAGAAAATAATAAGAAACTAACAATGATAGGAAGTAAATAGATTTTGGGTCCATTCAAAAGCATCTGGTGGTTTGAATTTGGCTCTGGTCCACCTATTGACATCCCTGGTCTAAGTATTATAATACTTTGTTCTGCCATGTGGGCAACGGACTGGACTATATGACCTCTTGAGGTCTCTTCCAGTCATACGATTCTGATTCTACAATAACGCCTCTGATAGCTGCATGCATAATATGAATGAGAACTGTTTGGATTTTTATCCTTGCACATAAAGCGTATCTAGAAACTCCTATCTAAGCATTTGTTTGCTCACTAAAGGTAATCTTGTGTCTTTGCACAGAGGTATGGAATTATTTTCAAAGGGTTTTGGTGAAGAGGTATGCAACTGAACGAAATGGAGTAAATGTCATAAGTGGACCAATCTTCGATTATGACTATGATGGTTTACATGACACGCCAGAAAAGATAAAACAGTAAGAGTTTATATTTAAATGTATTAACTGTTCTTAATGGCTATCTAAAAATATAGTATTTCCCAATTAGTTGGTATTTGGGTTCGAGGTACAAGGTGCCAACTTGTAAAGCCAAGAATCAAGTTCTTTGAAGTCAATAAAACTGCTGGTTAGTTTATGATCTGGTAAGCATAAGTTTCTTGTTAAAGGAAGGATTCTCAGGACTAAATGTCCTTATGGGGGGGCAATAAAAAAGCAATTCGCTCCGTTTTAGATAACAACAATGGAACTACTGATCACCAGAGAATTCCCTACCTTGACCTTGTAGAGTTTATATTCTGACCTGGAGTGTTCCATCATCCTTCCTATGACGGCAACTTTGATGGGAACCTCACTAACTACAGTATTTTACAATACTTTTACTTTGTAAGTGTGGAGCACATTCTGCTTACATAGCTTGCAATGCAGTGCTAAGGACAATAAGGCTATTGAGTTAATTACTCAAGTTTTTTTTTAATTCATGTTGAACAATGCTTTCCTACCAATAATCTTGAAATCTCTAATCAGAAGGTATATTCTAGAATCTTTACATCTGCTTATAATATCTGTGGTGCTCTCTAACTCTACAGTAACTACTTGGTTCGTTTTATGATGGTGACTACATCAAGAGAGCCTGTCGACTTCTAGAGCCACAGTCTGAGCTGCACTCACCATAGTTTAGGGAGAAGAAGGGGAGAAAGTAAAGTGAGCTGTTTTGCCATCTTTGTAGACCCTAGATTTTGGGACCTTTTGTGGACCACTGCAGTTCTCACTGTAAATTAGAGCAAGCTAAAGACTTGGATATTTTTTCTAAGAGGGATAATCTAGTTCAGTCAGATACCATTGGAATTCATATGGGAATTAATGAGTGAAATTTTATGGTCTGTGTTATGTAGAAGCAGAGAGAGAGTAAGGCATAGCCATTATAGGTCCATGTCTAAAGCCCCAGCTCCTGGAGTCATGTTATTACATTAAAATCTCAGCATTCATTTTAAAAAAGTTTGTAGAGCCCTCAAGGTTGCAAAGAAAATCTTGTAAATGTGTAGCCTGTCTGCTTGCCCGAGTCTGTAGATAGCCAGAAACAATAGCTCCGAAATTTGAATGGCAGAGGTGAAACCTCTCTGCAGGCCCTGTCACTACTACCGCAACAGAGTGGTCTGTATGGACCCTTTTTGGCAATAAAATCTATGAATAACTTATCAATGGCTGACAACTTCAGTGGGGCCATTCCAGGAATAACCAGAGTGCAGAGGCATTCTAGCCACACCCGTCATTCCAGGGCCTGAGGAGAGAAGGGGAAATGGATGCAGAGCGGCTATGCTGACTTGAAGATTTCTTATATGCTGAAGGAGTTCTCCTGACTGAATCAAGAATCCAGACTCTGGACCCCCATGTTGAGGAATTGTTCTCTTTGCTTGGTTCCTGGTCTGTAATGAAGCCCTGTAAATAGGGTTATTGGGCAACAAGTAGGAATTAATTTTAGAATGTTTCAACTGTATTGAATTATGCAGAACTTGGAGCCTCCTAGTGACCTCTATACCTACGTTTACCCACATTCTAACTGAAGAGGACACCTGTCTGTGAAGGTGGACAGCACTACATACAAATAGCACTTTACAAGGAATCTCGTATCCAGGAGTCCATCTAACAGATTTTGCTAAATGTTTGTTTGTGTTTTCCTCCTAGGTATGTGGAAGGCAGTTCAGTTCCAGTTCCAACTCATTACTACAGTATCATAACTAGCTGTTTAGATTTCACTCAGCCTGCTGATAAATGCGATGGGCCACTATCCGTTCTTTCATACATACTTCCCCACCGGCCTGACAATGATGAGAGCTGCAATGTAAGTTCAAATAGGCCCTTCTACATTAGTTTCCATAACTAGTATGTATAGACATAGCCATGGGTAAAATCCCATTTAGTGACTTTTAAAAAATGATTATTGAACACTTATGAGAACTTAAACCAAAATGTCTTGCCTGTAGTCAGACAAGGAATTGGTGGCAGAGCTGGGACAGAACTCAGGACTCCTGCCTCTAGTCCGAGGCCCCTATTCTAATCATTGGGCTATATTGATCCCTCCACCCACCCCCTGACCTAGCAAAAGAAGGTGTGGAACTATTACCGCTCACTATCTTTAAGGAAAAAAACAAACCCTAAAATGTTTTGTGTTAAACGTGAAAATGGTTACATGGAGTATGGAGATACAATGATTTGGCAGCAGAGTAAATAACTAACTTATAGAGTCATAGCACATGGCAGAACTCCTAATGAAGTCACTTTGGAGCTGCGCAGCAGGAAAAGTTCAATATACAGGCCAGAATGTGTTACATGGTAGCAGACAACTGGATGTTTTCGTGAGGGGGGGTCCATTGTGAAGATTTAACTCTAGCTGCATCTCACATCTTTATAGTGTCTGCCTGCCATGGTATTCCAGGTGCTTCATCCAACATAGTTACAACGTAAAAATAAAACACCACTTGGGGGTTTTGTGTTTTATCTGGGATTGCAGAAGCAAAGAGATGCTCTACGTGTTCTGTTCCTGCATTTTCTTGGGGCCAAAAGACTCTTGCTCTTTTAGATCAGAGATAAGACTGTTTGTTTATAGTTGCAGAAGCTTGGTAAAGTACAATGGACCTAGTCCATATGGGGATTTTAAATTTTAACATCTGAATGTTTTTATACATGGTCCAAACATCAGGAGAGCCAGTGCACAAAACAAAGCAATGGAATACTGCATTCTGTGTGAACTGCAAGTAGCCTAGACAACTGTTTTTGGACTTCTGCCTAAACTTAATTTCTCTCCGAGAAATCTTTCCTCGTGGGTTCTTCTCTATAGGTTGCCAGGAGTCTGTTTCCTGAATCAAAATGTTTATAGAATCATAGAAGATTAGGGTTGGAAGAGTCCTCAAAAGGTCATCTAGTCCAACTCCCTGCTCAAAGAAGAACCAACCCCAACTAAATCATCCCAGCCACGGCTTTGTCAAGCCGGGCCTTAAAAACCTTTAAGGAAGGAGATTCCACCACCTCCCTAGCTAAACCATTCCAGTGCTTCACCACCCTCCTAGTAAAATAGTTTTTCCTAATATCCAGCCTAGACCTCCCCCCATTGCAACTTGATACCATTGTTTCTTGTTCTGTCATCTGCCACCACTGAGAACAGCCTAGCTCCATCCTCTTTGGAATCTCCCCCCCCTTAGGTAGTTGAAGGCTGCTATCAAATCCCCCCTCACTCTTCTCTTCTGCAGACTAAATAAGCTCAGTTCCCTCAGCCTCTCCTCATAAGTCATGTGCACCAGCCCCCTAATCATTTTCGTTGCCCTCCGCTGGACTCTCTAATTTGTCCACATCCTTTCTGTAGTGGGTGGGCCAAAATGGGATGCAATACGCCAGATGTGGCCTCACCAGTGCTGAATAGAGGGGAGTAATCGCTTCCCTCGATCTGGTGGCAACGTTCCTACTAATGCAGCCCAATATGCTGTTGGCCTTTTTGGCAACAAGGGCTCGCTGCTGACTCTCATCCACTGTAATCCCCAGGTCCTTTTCTGCAGAACTGCTGCTTAGCCAGTCGGTCCCCAGCCTGTGGCGGTGCATGGGATTCTTCCGTCCTAAGTGCAGGACTCTGCACTTGTCCTTGTTGAACCGCATCAGATTTTTTTTGGCCCAATCCTTCAATTTGTCTAGGTCACTCTAGACCCTATCCCTACTCTCCAGCATATCTACTTCTCCCCCCAGCTTAGTGTCATCCGCGAGCTTGCTGAGGGTGCAATCCATCCCATCATCCAGATCATTAATGAAGATGTTGAACAAAACCGGCCCCAGGACTGACCCCTGGGGCACTCCGCTTGATACTGGCTGCCAGCTAGACATCGAGCTGTTGATCACTACCCGTTGAGCCCAACAATCTAGACAGCTTTCTATCTACCTTATAGCCCATTCATCCAATCCATACTTTTTTAACTGCTGGCAAGAATACTGTGGGAGACTGAATCAAAAGCTTTGCTAAAGTCAAGGTATATCACATCCACCGCTTTTCCCATATCCACAGAGCCATGGTGTATTTAGTATTGGTGCACAAAGCCAGAGCTCCTGTTCCAGCTACAAGTAGGAGTAATCTTTCCAAGTCCACCCACAATATGCCTGGAACACTGTTCCTCTTATCCATTAAGCACCTTTTCACTTCTCTTTCAATTCCTTCCTTGAAACCCCCAAATCTCTGAGCAGTCGTCTTCCTATCAATAATTCCCATGTTCTCTCTCTTGAACTTATTGCTTTATTTTTAGATTGTAAACTTTTTGGGAAGGGAATGTGTCTTATCAGTATTTAAATGCTGTGCACTTTTTGGTGTAGGTATAAACTTATGATGCTGAGTTTATTTTATATATCGCCTTCCACTCTGAATCTCTCTATTGGCTCTCACTTCCCTGAATCAAGCTCCAGCTTCTAACCTTCAAAGCTCCTATAGCTTCACTGCTTCCTAAACCTCTGCCCTGATTTCCTCCTGCACCCACTCCTGCTTGGACACTCGGTTCAAATCTTTGTTCTATGCCATGCTGCAGGCCTAAGCCTTTCTGCTAATATAATCATTGCTTTCACTCCTCTGTCAAGAAAGTTAGTCCTACTTATTCATGAAACGTGCAAACGAATGGCCGCACCTATTCTGTTTTTGTCTTGTTTGTCTTCACATTCGAATGAGAGGGACAGCTCAGTGGTTTGAGCATTGGCCTGCTAAACCCAGCCTTGCGAGTTTAATCCTTGAGGGGGCCACTTAGGGATCGGGGGCAAAATCAGTACTTGGTCCTGCTAGTGAAGGCAGGGGTCTTGACTCGATGACCTTTCAGGGTCCCTTCCAGTTCTATGAGATATGTATATTTCCATATATTTTATTTATTTATGCCTTTAGAGTATAAATTCATCAGGCTTAGTATCTGCTGTGCACCATTTGCTCCCTAAGCTTACAGTGCAGTATATATTTACAGTTGTGTGCATGTACAACACTACATAAATGATGGCTATTTGCTATCTTCACATGGCAAAAACCACTTCTAAACTTGATAATCTAGAGAAAATGTAATTGGGCAAAATGGCGCTGATCCTGAGATCACCATATCAGCTCTGTTCTTGCACCATGGTATTCCAGCTGATTCAAATGAGTGTCTGGCTGTGTCTAACCTCCAATTCTATAGGGATGGGTGAACTGTGTGGGGTAAAAGAAGAACAATCCTTAACCTCACCAAAACTTTTTTCTGAGATTTTAAAAAATGACGCTCTTTTCCATTGTTTGTTCCTTTTTTTCACATCTCTCTGTGTTCCTGGGTTCTATCTGGGGCTGAAAGATGACTTGCAAAAATTTTATGAATTAAATCTCACAGCAGCCATGCACAAATACAGTAGTAGTAGTCCCATTTCACCAATGGAGAAACTGAGATGCAGACACAGGCGCCGACTTTCCAAAGTGCCGGGGGAGGGGGGGTGCTCGACCCCTGGCTCTGTCCCAGGCCCCGCCCCACCCCCACTCTACCCTTTCCCCCAAGGCCCTAGATCTTGATTTGTCTTACAGACTTCTTGTTTTGGCTAGTTTCCTATTGGCATGTAGAGCTAAAGGTGAAATAGTTTTGTCTCTGAGAAATACAGCAGATCAAAACAGACTGTACTTTAGATCCACAGAGATGTACTTTAGATCCACACTCTATAACTCCCATGCTGTGCAAACAATCACTTCCCTCACTTACTGGCTGTCACAGAGTGACCCACAAACCTCACCTCTTGCATCTCTGATATTTTTTGGTCACATCTGTTTCCTGTGGAGATTAGATATTAGTTTTTAATGGCATAGGTTTGTTTTTACTTGGGGACTTTGTCAAGTTAATGAGGAAGAGATTAGTCTCAGGACCAAAACCAGAAACTAAAAACTTTTATGTAGAACTTGGTCTTGGGCTGGTCACATGGAAGGATGATGATGCTGAATGGCTGTCACTATTATTCTTACAGTGAGGATTTATGGAAGATTAAAATAATAGAGTGGCATTGTTACTAGATGAGGCGAGGACACACTGGTCAGAGCAGAATGAGGCTGGGGCTAAAGTTTGAGATAAAGGTTCAAAGCCTAACCAGGGCTAGAACTTGTTTAGATAATATTGTGCCAAAGTTGCAAGCTGCTTTTGTGAGATTTTGATACAAAATGGCAGAAATATTGAGTGAGCAACTGATTTCCCAATAGCACCATCGTCTGCTCCCACCAGGAGATCTACAACTATTCTTGTAAGACTCCTGACATATTGGGCCATTCTCAGGTAACTTCAACTCTTCTAAGAAGTTTTGGCCACATTTGAATCCAAATCCTAAAACTGAAACCTGACCCAAAACTATACCTCCGTGCATCCTTTATTTATCATTAATTGACTTTGAATGGAAGAGCATGTGAAGATCATGTGTCTGATGGAGATAACGAATTAGGAAAGGTACAATACCCTTTCAAAGATCGGACAGATTCTGTACTAAAACTAAATCCAGTTGTTTTCATTTCAGAGCTCAGAGGAAGAATCCAAGTGGGTTGAAGATCTCCTGAAGATGCACACCGCACGAGTGCGTGACATTGAACAAATTACTAGCTTGGACTTCTTCCGAAAGACCAGCCGAAGCTACACAGAAATTCTCTCCCTAAAGACATACCTGCATACGTTTGAAAGTGAAATTTAACTTTCTAATTTTACTCAGTGCATCCTTCTATCAACTGGTGTATATTTTTGTATTGTTTTTATATTTATTAATTTGAAACCAGGACATTAAAAATATTAGTATTTTAATCCTGTATCAAATCTTAAATATTAAGCCCTTGTGTCCGTTGTTTTGTTTCTCTAATGTTTAATGTAGGTATGGGTTTTTAGTGTGCTTGTAATACTGCAGCTTGCATCCTTAGTCACAGTTTTTAAGTGGTGCTGCAGAATCGATACTTACATTGAGGAAATATTAATTTTCCAGTGCTCCTTTGCCATGTTTGTAGTCCTGTACTGTATATCAAAATACTGAACATGTAAAATTACATTAATTTACTGTTAACTATATGACAGAAATATTTAAACCCTTTAGACAAAAAGAATCTTAAATATAATAAACCACACATTCAGTTTTTTAATGTCTGTCTTTGCTTTCCTTTCAGAGAATATTTGAGTCACTGGAAGCTGAATGCTTCAGGCTTTCTTCCTTGCGAAGCTTGAGCCAATTTGTCATGCTTGCAAGTGTGGTTCTGTTGTCTGAAGTTACTGTGGCCCCTTTCTGATTCTAAGTGTGTAGGACATAATATGTAGTAGGCCAGGCAGTCAATACTGGCCAGTAAGCATTTCAGTGGAGGGTAGGGAGAGGAGCCCATCATCAGCCCTCTTTCCCCAAACACACAAGATCACCTTATACATGCTGCAATTTTGGTGCTCTCTGGCCGTGCCCCCTTAACACCGGCAGAAGGAGGATGAAAAAAGGAGCCATTCTTGGTAACATCACTTTTTTTTTTTCCCCTGCAAACCAATACATTTTAAAGGTGTCTCTCTTTCAGCATTTATTCCTATGGAAAACTACTTTGTCCATTTGCCCCCTATCCCCCCCTCCCCCCGCCCCCCGGTCCTGAGGGGAGATGAGACAGGCAGGGGTCCAGTGGAAGGCTCAGTTTCGAAGAAAACCAGCAATTATCATGGAGGACGACCCCTAGCTCTTCATGCAGATGACCCAATATCTGCAGAATTTCCCCATATATTTTGGGGAGGATGTTTTGGTGTCACTCTGCCTGCTCTCACTATACAAGGAAGGTCACCACCACAACTTTGTGCACACACAACTGCATGGTACCTCAAACTCTGTATACTTATACTATGGTTCTGCTTTTAAAAATGGGCTTTGTAAAAATGGCAGCTTGGGTCCCTTATTTATCATGTGTCTCTGACTACCAGATCCAATTTGTTTAGTTTGCAAGTAGATTTGTTCTAATTGACAAGTACCCCAAACTCTCCCAGGGCTTAGTCAAGCTGGATTCTTTCCTTCTCGTAAATCATCACCAGTAACTGCCTAATTTAGCCTGTAAAACCTGTTGGCAACACCAGTGCAACTGCATAGTCTGCAGAATGTGCCTTCATAACACCTATGTAAACCTACATACAGTTAATGGGGTTGCCCAGGTGTCATTGGGAGCACAATTCTAAAACAATGGAGTTGACTCTGTAATACACCCAGGTGTAAGCAAGAGCTTAATTTGATTTTCAGAGCTTCTGTTATTGGTCTGGAACACAAGGTGTGAAGTATCCAACAAACCCTTGTGTGGATGGCAATCGGTGTTCAAGTCAAATACAGGGGGGTGGCTTGAGCAAATTGAACTGGAGATTAATGGTAAACAATGCAGACTGAAGCCCATGCTACCGTTCTTAGAAAGCTGTTCTTCAGGGTAGAGTGGGATTTCCGTTTCTGTGGAGGCTTGCCATATTTCTCTTACACAAATGTATGGCTGAGCATGATGGGGAAAGAGGGAGCATGTTTTGGACTGAAGATGGATAGATGGCTTTGGGTGAGGGATATGCATATACAGATTAGTGAAAATCTGCTGACTGTAGCCAGTTTTGAGAGAGTTTGGCAGTGGTGGTGGTCAGGTTTTTATGACCTCATCGTAGCAATCTGCACCTTGGGAGGCAAGTGCGGGGATAAACTGAAACCATTGTTTTTCAAACAACCTATGGTTAATATTTCCATTGATTTTTATGAAGATAATACTTTCAGTACTTTTCAATAATCCAACAGTCAGGTCTCTGTATTCTAATACAGATGCCAAAGTCAACTTAATTTATCAATGAACACAACATTAGCATTTTAATAGGGAAGACTTTCTGATGATGTACTAATGATTGTAATGAAATAAGTGCACATAGCTTTGTTTGAGAAATGTTCTATTCTTGCAACATAAAAGTTGTCTCTTGTGGTTGTCTGGTAGCATTGGAAGTATTTTATTTTTCTGTAGGCTGCAGGCAGGGCTTTGTCACCACAAACTTTAATTTCTTACATGTCCTACAAAGGATATTTCCTTTAGATTGAAAACAGTTTCAAGTTAAGATTCGGGGGGGTAGCCGTGTTAGTCTGTATCTACAAAAACAACAAGGTGGCACCTTAATCTGTTAGTCTTTAAGGTGCCACCAGACTCCTTGTTATTCAAGTTAAGATGTCCCTGAAACTGATAACAATTATATAATTTGAATTCCTATAAACTGAATCTAAGACCACCAATACTGTGAGTTTGATCTTCAGGTAAATTTTAAATGATGTAATCCCTTTACATTTCCTCCAAATGAAAAATACACTGAGATATAACCATGGAGTACTAGATCTCTAAAAAACACTCTGCTTTAGGCACCAGTTAAAGAAATGACTGTCTGGGTCCCTGCTCTTGTATTTTAATTTCATTGAACAATGGTGGCTTAAAGATCTGTGTGTAGAGAAATGTGAAATTTAACTCCTCATTTCATATTGTTAAAGTATGCAGTGCTTTAGCTTCCATTGTGTTGACAGCAGGAAAGGATATTCGCACCTTGCCCTAAACTGTTGTATAGCTGTTAAATATTTGCTGGAGTCCATCACCAGAGGTGGCTGCATTTGAGTAATGGGTGTGGTGACTTCTGAATATAAAATACTCCTTTTGTGACGAAAGGCGCTATGTGAATGTAAGACTTTTAGAACAGAACTGAAGCTTTGAAAAGCTCCTCCAGATCTCTAAGGTAACAATCCTGCTGGAGGAAGACGAAACATTTTAAAGCTAACTTTTAATTTCCCTATTGCATCTCTTAAGAAAAGCAGCCAATTTATTGCAACCCAGTGGAAAGCCCTCCTGCATTCCACTCCCTTTGGGCCATTTTGAAAACATGCATAAAATACCTTGTGTGTCTTGCGCTTCCCTTTCCACCACAAATGTGAAGTTGTTACTTTCAAAGTTTTCTGATACTACCATGGCTTATGTTGTGTACAGAGTAGTCACTATCAGGAAAATGAATGTTGAATTTGCCATCCAGGTGCATAAAATGTCCTATGTGGTGGTACTTAGTGTTGGAATTCATTACACAATGCAGAACGTTGGGCTGAGTCACAAGTATCATTACTGGATTTTCCTGTGAATATAATTGGGGGGCAGTCCAGACCTTGAGGAATTGTAAGGCAGTGAAAACTGCAGATACCTTGCATATTAAACTGTTTTTCAGCTATGAGAAAAATCTTCCTTAGATTGTAGAGCTGGTCAGAAATGAGAATTTCAGTTCTACAGGAAATGCCAAAAGCCAAAATTTCCTGCAAAATGAAAATTCTGAGATTTCAGTTTGGGATGATCAAAACATGTTGCTTCGATAAGTTAAAATGTTTTGCTTTTGACTTAAAATTTTGACTCATTTCAGTTGGACTCCTAATATAAATCAAAGTGGTAAAGTTAGTGCAAAACATTTTACCTTATTGAAATGACATGTTCTGATTTCCCCCTCCGCCTGTGAAATTTTCAGTCAGCATGTTCCTGGGAAACTGCTAAACAGGTCCTGCGTTTTCACCCTAGTGCTGGCTATATTTCAGTAATGGGAGAACAGTTTTCTATATTATATGCAGATTCTAAAGTGCTTTGGGCTCCCTATGGGAGAAAGGGACTATTGAAATGTTATCAGTAGCTCCACACCATATAATGGGTCTACTCCTAAGAGTGAAGTTACATGCATAAATGTTTGCAAGATCAACCTTGTTGTATGGCTGCAAGCGATTACAGAACAAGCCCTCTAGTCCCCAACCTCTCAATGATTTATTTACAAAGGAATGGGTCCGCGCATCTTTAGATGCGCAGCTCTTGACATGTAAAATCCTTCAAAAAGCACATGATTTCATATCTTGCAGCCATCAGCTGTTTCAGGATAAGCACAGAATCTTGAATTCAGGAGTTGGCAGGATCTGTACTGTACGGAAAGGGGAGGAAGGCCTGACTCGTGAGTGATCTTGTTTTAGAACAGCTGGATTTGTAGTGTTTGTGTGCACCTGTATTATATATCAGAGGGCGAGTTCAATTACCTTTGAATTCACCTTTTTAAGGAAGCACTGCCATCTTCTCTTAAGAAACCACCCAGCTCAGGTGGACCATTCTCTCTTGGAGGATGCTTCTTTGGATATATTGCTCACAACTCCAAGACCGAATGGGAAACCCCTTTTTCTTTAAGAACTTTGCATAGGCCCTGTCTATTGTGTCCATCCCTAGGTAGTTGAGCTGCTGCACGTTTTTCGACATTTTGGGCGACTACTAGAGAATTTTAATGCTCCTAGAAGTAGTTTGTGGCAGGTACTGCAAATCTGCTAAAGTACCTCTGATCTACAAGAGTCTGGTAATGTTTTCACTTAGAGCAGTGTATTTCATCTAGGGATCTTGTGCTGCTTTTACAGTCATGAATTAATTAACTTTCACCCCATTCCTGCAAGGTAGCTATTATCTGTTTTATAGATGGGGAAACCGAGGCACAAAAGTTGTCATTTGTTCCAGGCTGTGCATTCAACACATCTGCAGTGAGCTGTGAATAGTTCTATGCAGGAGGCTAGAATACCACTTTTCTGTTTTTCATGCCCAGATCATTGCAATCCTAAACCTCTCCAGGGCAGAGTTGCCAAGGGTGAGAAAAGCATGTAGTAGTAATTCTATAAAGTGGAAAGTTGAGAGTGGAAAATATATTCCTCATGTGACTTAAATCAAATTTAAATGCAGGATTCCAGAGGCAAAAGCCTAGTACATTGAGTACAGTAAATTAGTGCTGGTTTAAGCCTCTGTGGGGCCTGTATCCAATCCAACCAAACAAAAAATCAAAGCGTTAGTGGCAATCCTTGCTCCCTGCCAAAGCCCTCTCCAGGCTCCAGCATGGATGCCAGCATTTTGTAGTGGTGGGGTCGTCTGGGTATCTTTAGATGCAAACTTTGTGGATCTATAGCCTCCAGCCCAGCCGAGATCCATGGATTTTACTTTGGTCTGCCCCTGGATGGAATGCCATAGAGCTAATGCACCCATTCTGATGTATGGAGTATGTGCTGATAAGAAAAGTGTATATAGTGTGAGAATAAAGCTTCCAGCAA